TGCCACTCACATGTGGCATAGCCTGGTCTCGATATACCACCAGCAAAATATTTTGCAATAGTGCACATCTTTTGCGGTGAACAGTACAAATTTTTTAACTAACTGCCAGTGGTTCCAATATTCACTCCCTTATTAACACCTTTATGTTACACAACCAAATCTGTTTTGCTTAGTTGGTAGTCTTTTTTCTATATTATTTCTTTACCAAGGATAATTAATAAATTGATAATATCATAATCATAAAATTTTAGACCTGTGGTCATTTTTTACCAACCAAAATGCATGGGATATATGATTGTTGACAATTTTTATAAATTTTTGTTCCTCCTCAATGTTTGTTAAATTTCTGTCTCTTTGGATCGCACAGTAAACATTTAATGTAACTGCAATTATATAGATACACAAATGATATTCTAATGGTTTTAATTTGCAATTTAAGCTGCATAACATAGCATAGTTATACCATAGTATTAATAACCAAATGTTTTTCATCTTATTAAAAGCCCTTAAAAATACTGTATCTGAACAAAGAGGCATAGAAAGCAGGCCTGTACATTAGCATTAGAGTATTTAATTTAACGCATTATTAATCAGACAAAAAAGGATAGAGGAGAATTGATATTTTTAATACCAGTTAAATTCCAAGAAAAATTTTAGTTGTTTATTTCTCTGGGTGACAGATTCCAAGCTTATCGAAATGTATTCTATATTAGATCTACTTAGATTCTTAAAAGCTTTTCAGTTACCAAAATGCAAACAAAGCAATCTGCAACACGCATCATGTTTTTAACCCACATATATAGCCAGCCAAAAAAAAAAAATGAAAAACGAAAACCACAACAGAAATGCCAATTAAAAGGTTGCAAATTTTAACCAACCAAATGCCTCATTAAAGGCCGTGGAATCTGGCAAGCAACACAGATCACGTTTCTAGGATTTCAGCTAGATCCTGGCTTATCCATCAGGAATATTCTGATGTTGGGAAGCTGTGTTATCAATAGAAAACACCAGTTTCCTTTAACAAATAGGTATACATTATCTTTTAAAAACATTAAAATCAACATATTTGTTAATTTATCATTTAAATTAATCATTCAAGCATGCAGTTGAGTTTAAATTACCCAGAACGAATGAATGTCAGTTATTCATCGAGAGAAAAATATTGGCCAAGGAAAATAAGAGAATCCATGAAAATTCGGACCAGGCACCGCACTCTCAGTCGAGACCGTAGATACAAGCTACTGGTAGTACTGGAGGAGGTGTTGTCACATGATCATTTAAACTACGTGCTTGAATGATCATGTGATCAATGTGTAAATACTTCAGTTTCCATGAAGAAGTTGCAGAGATAGTAATGAAAGCCTGGAAGTAAGATTTATATTTTATCTCAACATTTCCAATTGCAAAATTTTCTTTCACTCGACATAATGAAGAGGTTATTTTAGACAAATTTTTTATATATTTTCTAAATATTATTAAAGAGAGCTTGCACTCCCTTGATTAATCAAGTTTTACATTGACTTACAGTTCAGGATCTGGTTGATGGGCCAATAAAAAAAAAATTCTTGTGTTGGCCACGTTTTGGAAAAATAAAAAAAATGGGTAGGTCGGTAGAAAAAGTTTTTTTTTAAATTTTATTTATTTTTTACCAAAAATTGTTTATGCCTAAAAAGTAGAAAATACACAAAAATACAAAGACCATTTTAAAATCTATATTGAAGAGCAAAACGATAGCGTAACACTGTCGCATTCCTACCGTCTCAAGAAAAGCCTATTCCAGCCTTTTTCGCTCATTAAAAAAATGTTTTCGATGTAAAAAAAAAAAAAAAGGAAAAAACTAAAATGCCAACTCTCAATTTTGAACATTTTGGTTCGGTCAGCATGGCCATAGAGAAACTATTTTCTCTATGGCATGGCCAACATAAGATTTTTTTTTATTTGGCCTAATATACTAATATAACATACAGTATGTAAAAAAGGATGGTGCATTGGCTATCAATGAAGCAACATGCCTTATCTTTGCATAAATGTCAAAGAAACCCAAAATAACATGTTTATGCATGTGTTTATAATATGTTTATAAATGCAAAATGTTTAGTTGGCAAAAACAGATGTCAAATCAACTGATGAATATAACAGCTGGTCAACTCAACAAGTGCTCCCCTTGAAACCTTAAGATCATTGGTTCAATCCTATCTAAATCCTTTGCTTAAGCATCAGGAAAACCTATAACAATAAAGCACTATGGGAATGATGAGCTGATTGTTAAAGGGATTAACCTCTATACTTGTTATTTAAATAAAAATAATAACTGTCTAAAGCACTACATTCAATAATGAAAATCCTCACAACCCTAAAAACTGAATAAATTTGAAGTTTTTTCATTTCATTTATACCAATTCAATACTATCCTCAACTTATAAACTTGTTATTTAGACTTGACAAGTAACAAATATGAGATGAAAACTGGCTAATCACCAAAATCAGGCATGTCAAGTTATATACAAATAAAGAAATATGAAGGGCATTGACCTGTTTATGGGAATAATAAAGTTTATATGTATTCATATATTTTTACATATTTATTTGTTTTCACAAAATTTGAATATTGTAGGTAAAGCTAGTTATTTTATTTCTTTATCGTTGTTGTACAGTATATCAAATTATTAAGTAACGAATGCGAGGTCAAGATGACCAAAACATGACATGACATAATGAGATACAGGTCTCTCTCTAATTAAAGATCACCTCCAATTAAGGCTACTTTTCTGTTGTCCTAAATTAACAAATGTTTTAAATCGTTACTATTCTAGAAACCAAAGCAAAAGTCCCAAAAATGGTATCAATAGGTTGTCAAAAAAGGCCACTTCAGACACATACCACCAACAATATCAAGGCCTCTAATGATTTATTATCATTATTTTTTAAGCACACTGAGTATATACACTCTTGTATAATCTTCTTAAAATATAATAATATATAATAATTCTGGATTTATATAACGTCTCGCGTTGTCACAACCTTGAGGCACTTAACAACAACATATAAACTATAAGTGTAACATTATTATTATAATTTTATTAAAGCTAAATTTCTTGATGCTACATAGTTATGAGAACCATATATTTTAGCATTCCCAATATCACAGCAGATAATGTAGCGTCTAGTTACAATGGCATCTATAAACAAACAGCTAGGTGTTCATTCTCACTGCATCCTCTTCCCATAGTCTATTGGGATGAAACGAATAGCTGAGGTCAGGACCCGAAAGCAACATCTCTTCATCCCAAAACATCATTTTGTTTAAAGAGAATATTTGCACAAAGTAATCAATACACGGTGACAGCAGGACTTATGGTGTAATATTTACCATCTTTTTCCTCTGGCTGTATAAACCAAAACCACTAAAATACCGTATGGATTGCAATTCTCGGCATAGGTGGTCAGTGCCGGGTATGGGACGAGATAATTCACGTGCAATAACAGGGTGTCTAACAAATGGAATCAAATTAAACTGACACAAAAATTACGGGAGCATAAACATAATAATAATTGAAAATATTTATAAATCACAAATTTAAAAACAAAGTTATGATGTAATGTATAGAGACAATTCACATGGAATAATGGGGTATCTAACAAATGGAATCAGAAATTAAATTGACACAAAAATTAAGGGAATACATAAAAATAATAATAATAAAATTTTTTTATAGTTCTATAAATGATAAAACAATAAAATCAAAATGCACTTTCAGTATGACTGAAAAATATGTCATATGTAGTGCAAAAAGGTAAGGGTAGGACAATAACCTATAATTCGCAGGATCATTGTGTTGAATTGCGCAACATGGGCATGGTCCATTGATGCAGACACATGTATAGGGCCTAATAAAATGCATTTTTCGTCACCTGAAGACATTTACTGTGGGAACAAGACTTGGTGGCTTCCTTAAATCATTAAAATGTGTGCAAGTACAATAGTAGATAATATTTATTTAATCATTTATTTTCAATAGTAGATAATATTTATTTAATTAATTTTTAGTCACATGAAGTTTACTGTGGGAAAAAGACCGGGCGGTTATATATATTTTATGGTTTGTTTAGTTACTGTAAGTGATTACCTACCTAATCTACTATATGTTCTTGTATATGGCCACATTAAAATCAGTAAAATGTGTGTAAGTATAATGGTAATAGTAGATAATATTTATTTAATTATTTATTTAAACATTCTTTAACCAGGGGTATCCATTCAGTGACTAGCACTGCTTTCCAAGGAAGATCTGGTGGTACACAGTAAATATAACACAAATATATAAAAAAAAATGTTTACAAATGTGAAATTCAAATTTTCATCAAGATATTGGCTTTATTTTCAAGTTTTCTTTGCTTTACTGGGTGTTGTTCTATTGGTAGAACAGTCTTCACTGAATAGGCTTGATGTTAATCCCTATTAAAGGGACCCCTCTAGGACTGAAAATGTCTCCTTAATAAGGGAATAGAGATTAAAAATGTTGCATAAAAAAAAATTCTCTTGATTTGAGGCCAAAAAAGTACCTTTCACAGGGGTATCCCCTTAATAATAGTGTCTCCAAGGAGGGGGGGGGGTTCTACTGTATTCATCTGCAAGATGCACAAATTTTATATTTTACATGATTTTTACCATCTGATGTCGTGTTGGTATTTATCACAGGTTTTCTATATCACATGCACTCGCATAGAATAAACCACCTGTGATATAAATAAGGCCCACCTGTATTTTATGTATAATAGCAGGAATATTAAAGTTGGCAATGTTTATTGAAGTATTAGCCCCTGGCTTGTTCATTTCTTCAAATTGCTTAAGTTTAAATGCTAATTATTAACTGTGTATCCATTCATCCCATCCACTGAATCCAATCCAATTATGCAATCGGTTAGACAATAAATCACTGATACTTAAAATTGGAAGATAATTGAGTTTAATTTAAATTTTAAGTCTCAAATTGACTTACCAGCCAAGCGTACGTAATATCAAAACTTGCAACAGCGCCCTCTGTGTCCGGTATTGTAAACGAATTGTTTCCAAGAATGGAGGTTGTTGATTCTCCAATTATACAACTACTGCCAGGTTGATACGATGCACGATAAACATCCCCACAAATATAAAAACATGTCCGACATTGCTCAAGGCACTGGCTATCTGCAGAGGAAGCCCCGCAGCATTGTCCGTTCGCTAATTCTCCGTTGCGATTATGTATATACTCAATCCGAACTTGAAATTTACTCGTACCCACGCATGCCTGTGATGGATAAAACAATAGCAAATATTATCAATTAAAAAACATTGTGTCCTCAAATATTCCTTTCTTTTGCTATTACACATTCCCTCCTAAATGCCATGTTTGCTTAAAATATTTTATTTTCTTTTTTTAGTACTATCAATTCTAATAGCTAACAGAAATCATAATAAAAACAAACATGTCATAAGTCACAATGTCAGAAATGGAATACATGGCATTAAAAATAAAATACTGTAACCAAATATAATTATCAATTACATATCAAAACCAAAAAATACAGCATGAATAATGCAGAAGGTATTCTAGCAGATAATCTACACTAAATCTGGAATTTAAAACGACCGTTAAGTGTATTCACTGGACCATGCTGAGCACCGACTGTTCTTGACCGTGGGAAGGTTAATGTTATTAAATTGCCAGAACATTAACTGGAACCTGATGAATGTTGCTTAGCTAATGAATGCTGTTTAGTTAGAGATTTGGTTACACCATTAGGCTGTTAGGCATGTCATGCCGCCAAAATTTATGTTCTATATGTTGTCAATGCCTTTTACACAGGTGGAACAGCAAAAAAGCATTATTTTTTAATTATTAATAATATAAAATAATACCCTATAAAATCATGACAATTATTTAATAATATTAGATCCATTATTTACAATACTGTACAGGCATACTTACTGTGTAGCACTAATTAACTTGAAATTTAAATATTTGAACACTTTACTAAAGACAGGCTCTGGGAGAGAAAAAATATAGGAATAGGAATGTAACCATCATTTTCTCCACCTTCCCCCTTCCCAGGTTTTTAAAAATCTGTATCTCATTAAAATTTCCCAAGTTTTTCATCAAACACTACTTTTGTGTCTTAGAAAATTCAGTTGTATAAATAACACATTTTTTTCCCTCCAGAACCTGGGCCTTCAAGAGATAGGTGGTCAGGAAAATCTCAAATTAGAGGGGTCCTGAAATGGAGAGTGTACAGTACATGGACGTGTTTAGTGAAATAAAGCTGATTGATAGCTCTAATAGTTGAAAAAATAAAAAAAAATACACATTTTTCCTGCTAATTAACAGATGCATTCCTGTATTCTTTAACAGTCCTTAAATTTGGTTTCTAATAACGCACTGTAAATCAGCAACTACTAAATTATGTTGACCTGCTTCTTATTGTAAGTTTATAACTAATTCGATTACAGTATTTCCTTGGGTACAAGTCCATCTCGTGTATAAGCCCACCCCTATTTTACACCCAATTTTAATTACTAGCCTTTTCTCAGGCGAAAGCCCATGGTATTATTTGAATGAGAAGCTTAAGCTGACTTTTATGAATACTCTAAATTGCTGAAAAATTGCCTTTTGATTGAAAAGGGAATTCCCTGGATAGCACCTACTCTCCAAAATCGGCCCAATTAATTATATGTTCAAAAGGGTGGGCTTACACCAGAGAAACTATGGTATTTTCAAATCATGAGCTGTATTAAATCTCAGATTTTAGGCTCTATAAAAAATATTATTTAGTTAAATTCACCCTATCTAGGCTGGAAAAGTAATGAGGGGGGGGGAGGCTTTTTTTATTTTGCTAAAGCCAAATATCATGCTTGGGTTGTTTGCTGGTGCAATGATATTCAAAGTAAAACATGATTTAGGTAATATAAACAATATCTAATAACTATTTAATTTTTAAAAATGCAAAAAAAAAAAAATTTGTTTCCACAATTTTTTCTTTAAAAAAAAAAAAAAAAAAAAAAAATTGTGAAAATATTTTTTTTTTTGCAGTACCACAGAACACATGCGCAAGTAATAAACTAATACAAATTTTTATTGCGCCTTACCACTGACCATAAAATAGTCATTGGCTGAAGAGATTACATAGAGAATACAAAGTGATGAGCAAACGAGTCATTTTAATGAATCTGCTCAGTCTACCGTCGACAATTAGCACGCTGCATCACATCGTCAAGTGTTCACAGAAAACGGAGATGTTGCTAATGATCGTATTGTACGGCAGTGTGAGCACGGCTCAATATTTTATTAAATTCTAAATAATGTACATTTTATTTATTTTATTTTATTTATTTATTTATTCATTCTGAAGTAATTATAAGTAAAATACATTCAAGGATAAAAACACAGAAAAGTACAATTTGACCTACTTAACTACATTTTGCATTAATAATATTTAAAATTACCTTTGATCAGGTTGGTGCTATCTGACCTCCCTACTCTGATTAAATTTGCAAATTTACTTATTTAGTTACATAAATTCAGAAAAAAAAATCCTCAGACAAATAATATGAGACTCGACACATTGTTTATATTACAACACTTCTCATTGGGTAACAAAGTCGTAATTTTTCATTTTTGTCAAAAAGTGTCTATAGTGTGGTGAATTATAGTTTAGGGTTTTTTAAATAAAGTTTCAAAAATTTCTATGTATGTGGAAAATGTAGTTGATTACCAAAGGTTACAATTTTTATTTTGAAGACTGCATGGTCTATGAAGTGTACATTTTTTTATGGGGTAAGTTTCCAAGGGCGGGTTTTCTAGGGGCGAGTTGACTGCCAAAGAGTGTTGCCAAAGTGCGAGCCAGCGTGTTATTTGATCACAAGTGCGAGACATATCACAAGTGTGAGCCAGTAATTTTGTGTTAATATTTAAGTGTTTGACATTTTAGTATCTTATCCTTGTATATTAAAGCCATTGGCAATCATAACTTAGTAGAAATGTTACAAAGATGATATGAACAGATGAACTGATTTGATTGGTTATGATTAAACTTTATACTGAGATACAGTACGCCTACAAGATGGACTAAAGATTATGAAAGTACAGAAAACCAGAAATGGGTCAGGTGTGAATCTAAGGTACAAATCTAACTTTTCGGTCCTTTCTATTCATAGTACAGTACACTTTATTTTAAGATAAGAAGCAGTAAAATTTTGCCCGGGTTCAGTGTTCTTATTTTTTCAATTTCAGGCTTAAAATATTTTTTTACCTCTTCCAAGCTGCAGTGTAAAAGTGTTTTAATAAAGCTGGCCTACTACAATTATGCATTCAGAGGGTTGGGAAAAAGGTGCTCTTCCCCCCCCCCAACCCCAGAGCTTCTGGGCGCATAGTGTCCTGGACCCACATAAGACAAGAAAACCCCAAACCAGTCTACCTTGGACTATAATCTCCTCCTCAGACTAAATGTCTTTGATTGCTATCTTCTCCCCCGCTAAAAAAAACCCCCGGGTCCATCACTGGCGGTACAGACGATCAAAGAAAGTTCATCTTTATTATCATAATTATGAGGTTAAGTATTAAAAATATAAATTGGTTTCCAAGATATCAGAGCTGATAAGAGAGTAAGTTTTCAGTCACAAAGGAAAATTTAATTCAAGTAGACAGCATAAGGTCCTGTTGAGACCCTTACTAGGGAGCCAATTGCTGCTTGTCAAGGTTTCCCTACTTCCTAGGCAATTTTCCAGGCTCGGAAATATTCCACCATGTTGATTCAAATTAACCTCTGCGATGATATCTGGGATGAATTAATAAAATAATAAATATTATTTTACTAATTCCACTGGCTTATAATAATTGCCCTGTTGGTTATTGCACTATTTTCGTCATTGCTACCAGTATGTGTTTCCAATCTTTGCAAACCAATTTCGCTATCATTTGTCACAGTTATTATGTGTTACTTTTGATATACAATTTGTGTATGATGTCACTATTGTAAATATGCTACATTTAGTGTAGGTCTCACTATATTAGTGTAGGAAATTCATGTTGTTACAAATTCTGTAGTGAATAAATTAAATTCAGTTCAATAGATTTCATTGTCAGCTTTCGGAAAAATTGGGGAGGGGGAGGCAGATACAATCTACTGTGAAAAACCATTATAAACATATAAATACTGGTAGATGTATTATTTTTTTATCTCTTTGAAAATCTTACCAACATTTTAGATTATTCAATATTTTGTGAATGTGAAATAGTGTAGTCAAAAAGGAAATCGCAAGTATTTGGAAATGTACAGGAGTATTCGGTGCGATAACACTTGGGGATCGGACTCAACACTAGTCAATAAGAGTAAGCTCGGCAGTCTAGTGGATAACGCTAGGCTAGTTATCTGAAGGTCGTGGGTTCGATTCCTACCCGAATCACTTGTGATTTTTTTTTGCAAGTATTTGGGAATGTACTGAGTATTCGGTACGATAACATGTCAGATAGGGCAAAACATCACTCCTATGATATTTTCACACACATCAAAATAAAATGAAAATTGTTTTTATTATACATAAAATCGGAACATCAATTCCAATAATAGAAATAACAAGATTGTTGCATTTGATTTTATTCATAATCGCCTCTCAGATGATTACAGAACCAAGGGAGGACAATTAGATAAAGTATACATCTGTGAAAGTGCAACCAACTGTACAGGACATTAAAATTGGGAGAAAAAAAAATTTCTTTAAGAAGTTAATGTGTCAACACAACAATGCGCACAAAAACTGTTTTTAATTCTTGACACCGACAATTAGCAGACAGAGAGGAACCAGAGATAGATTCATCAGTCAACGGTCATGTGACCGTCGTACCGCGCGGAGTTTGCCCGTACAGCGCAGAGTGTGCCCGACATGTTATCAGTATTATTGTTATTCCTTAGCAGTATGGAGTTGACCTTATTTCAGTTACATTATATTCTTAAAGGAACCAATCTGTAAAGTTATTGTGTCACGACTAAAAGTTAATCTTCTTTAAACAGAATTATTTAAAGAATCGAAAGCTTATTGTGCAACAGTGGAAACCTGACCTAAACAGAGTACAAACAAATCAATTTTTTTATGACAGGTAAAACTAACATAAGAAGGATTTTCAAAACATCAGATTGAATTTGAAACTCATGTTTCATAATTTCGGTCCACTTTAAAAACAAATGTTGTCAAACTTTTTTTGAATTAAAAAGAGAGGAACAAAAAATTAGCTGATAAAGATAGAGCCACGCACACAAGATCAGATAACCAAACAAAAACTAGGCATTTTTTTTAAAGGACCTTCAGTTCCTGCATGCCAAGTACTACTAGTAGTATCCAGGCAATAAAACTGAAGTTCATGCTACTTCAGAATTTTTATCCTAAGGCAGTATTGTCTGCAATTTAAATCTAAAATCAAAATAACTTTATTTTACCACCTGTAAACTTATGAACTTTTACATGTAAGAAATTTAACTTCACAAAAACTGTAACATCTATATGATAATACACAATAAAATTGAAATATGTTTGTAATTTATTTATTTATTTGTGACACTTCACCTTTGTATCGGTGGCACTCACAAATAGTGGTGCGGTCTTACAAAATATACAACAGAAAAAGGAGAGGATAATCAAAACATTACAGGCAAAACAATAAACTGAACTTAAAACTTAAAATTAATATTTTGTATTATTAATGGGATTTTTTGTCATGTTCCTTCTACATCAGTGCTTAAGCTGTCATCGGCCAAATAGGCAAATCCTAATAAAAGCTGAATTTTGCTAAATATTTCCATTCAAAATTAGCCAAAAAGCTAATGGAAATAAAGCTTTCATTGCTTATATTATTTTGGTCCTGGCTAATCAAATTTATATTTGGCTAATTATTTGCATACCGAATTAGCCAAATTGCTATTTATATTCTTTTTTGGTCCAGCTTATACCCTGCTACATAATAATTTATTTTTAAAGTTTCATTATGTTGATATATTTTATTGTAGCATTTCAATTTTTAATAGAGTTATCAGTGATTTTATTTAGGTCTCTGTGTGACTTTTTAATGTTAATTCAATTTAAAAATATTTAAAAGCTTAATTTTTATACTATATTTTTGTACTGTATATATTTCATACCAACCCGATTATTGGTGTTTCTTAACACTGTTGAGTGTCTGAATAACAGTGACTGCACAGCAAAACTATGGTTTTTATCATCACTATCACCCTCATTACACTCCACCATCATTTGACAAAGCGCTTTATGTTATTTTGTGCCATTTGTTTCTACTGTAGGCTAGATGTCTTTATACTAAAAATCCCTTTAATTCATTCACTCCTTTAATCCCTATATTTTGATAATTTGCCCTTCAATCCAAAGTAATAATGTTTAACGAATGTTATCAACAAGCAAATTTTATGTACTGTATTGTAAATAACAATGAACCCGAGTTTGTAGAGCATCATATGTACAGTAGGCTTACATGTTTTTCGTGTATACATTGCAATATATAGGCCTACTTGGATTTGAAGTAAAAGGAAAAATAAATTTGACACTATTCTTATATCTTACCTTATATTATTTATAAATATTATAAATAGTTTAGTAAGATAATTTAATATTTAAATTCAAGTTGTCATGACAACTCAGTTAACACAGGTAAAGTGACATAATACAGGTGGTCATTCAAGTTCTGCATTAAAACAACACTAACAACATACCATTCACATAAAAGTTTACTATCTTATAACCTACAGCCTTACATCGCTTTAAAACACCTACTCGTAGTAGAACATAAAACATATTATTTATGCACAATTTAAAAAAAAAAAAAAGTAAAAGTAAAAAAACCTGTAGGCCTAACATAAAAACAACATGACCTAGGCCTATTGCATTTTTAGTGAAACTCTGGAGGTTATACAAAATTCCAAAAATGCTTATATTTAAGCATGATAATGCAGACTGACGAATTTACTATGGTCATAGCATGTATAGGCCGACCATGCTTAAAAATAGCCTCCTACCAAGCCCAAATAAATAGGCCTAAATATTTATAACCTTTCGTTTGTTGATCCGATAAGTTATTCAGAATACAGTCGATAGATCTAAAGGTGCACATGATGATGATTCATCGCATACTACATGCAAAAACCTGAGAAAAAAAAGAATTTAACCTACCTTAGGCAGATTTGCGACGAGGAACACCTGCAGAAAAAATACCAGTGCAAAGCTAGGCAATCCGAGTCGAGAACTATGTTCTACTCCTCCTCCTAGCCTAGACCAAATCCCTGGGTAGAACCACATAACTCCAGCTCTTGAGAAAACGAGGCAATCGTCAACATATTGTTAAAATACATATAATATTCCACATTTGGTCGATCACGACATGTTACCTCCAATATATTCCAAAAAGAGAGAGAAGAAAAAAAAAATATCCGTCAACAAAATAAGTTTAGTTGAAAAACCCTTGTCCAGACTTGAAGACAAACTAGAGGAGCGTGGGAAAGCACCTATCGCTAGTTAGTTGGTTAGACAACTTGAGTTTTATCTTCAAACATTTGATAGCGCCGTCATCTAATCTCATTAATATTGATGAAATGATAATTAACCAACCACGTCCCCGACGCGTATATCAAGCAAGGTAATTCAAGTGAGGCAGCGGAACCCAGACGGTATGGAAATCGGTCACTCGGCCCGGCAATTACACGAACTGTTGTGTTAACTCACTGCTCGAGAGATAGTAAATACTGTGCTCGGTCCAGCCTTGCTGTGTTTCGCTTTCTCTTCTGCTGTAAATATTCCCTAAGGCGGGCAGATTATGTTTTGCTACTTCCCCTTTTATTAGCTCTTCTGTGCATCGATCAGTCAGGCCTATTAACGTCCACAAGAATTCTTCGGTGGAGTTCCCACGAACTCATAAGATGTGGTCCAGGGTCTATAGATACGTTGGCTTTTGTGATCCTAGTTAGCAGACAAAAGCTATTTTGCTGGGTTAAACGCCCTAGGCTGCGCTTAGGTTTTTCCGAGCCGCCTCGATGGGGAGTATCGTTGGTAACTTGTCTCAGCTGACAGGATAATCAATTCAAAGTCAGAATTTCGTCAGAAATGTTATTATAGAGTCGTTATTTCGTTAATCGAACCATGACTACAGAACACGTGCCACAATTAAAGTACGTACTGTGTGCGTTAACGTAACATGCTTTATCTTACTGATGGCGCAATAGTAATTTGAAGAACTTCTGTTAGTAGATAAATGTTTAAATATTCCTTTATATTGTAAATACTGTATATTTTTCTTTTCTTGTTTACTTTCTTTTCTTTTCTCTCCGTTTCGGATGTGTTTTTTGTTTTTTATAAATTGAAAGTGAAATTTTCTTGTAATTATTGCAATTGTAGTTATCATTACATTATTGTGTCTAGCTGTAAATATTCATTCCCTTGATTTCTGAAACATTTCCATAAAAATGTGAAATTGTATGGTATTTTTTTTTCTATATTACTTTCATATTCTACTAATTTTGAACGTTTTTTAATTAGCAATGTTAATTAAATCTTACCGCAATCAGCTGTAGGCATTTCATTTAGGCCTATGGTTATTATTCAAATTTTATTCAAATTCAATTATTACTCATATTTACTATAGGCCTAATATATATATAACATTTAAAAAGATTAATATGTGCTAGAAGTTAAATTATTTGACATTAAAAAGTGTACGTGCGCTAATAAAAAATAGTTTGGCTGCGTGCTACAAGACAGAGGGCGGCATAGCATTTTTTTTAATACAGAAAAACGATAACAGGTTGGAATACTCAATCGTGTGAACGCCCGGCGGTTATTCCAAGTGGAACTAATAAAACAACAAACAATTATTGTAATTTTCAGCATAAACTATTTTAACAGATGGTTTTGCTGTTTTATTTAAATTCATCCCCGGGTGGCGAAATACTGTATAAGACCTCTGCTTGTAGATACGAAAAAGTATGTAGGCATAACCGTCACAGCAGGCCTGCGCATGTTTACCGATATTAACGAGTTTTTATTTCACATTAATATATCATCTTTCACGTCATGAATGTTTATGTTGCTAGAGAGCAGGAAGATATATAATTAATCTTGGACTATCCTATGAGTAGGCTCCTAGCTCTTAGAACTTTTGACAACGTGAAATGATAATTTCGTGGAAAAGTTTGATTTCGCGACATAGGCCTACTTGTTGCACCAACGGTGATTCATGAATTTAAATTTTAGAGGTGGCCCAAGTGAGACTTTACAGAGGCCCAGACCACACGTTGCCCACTGGTCCACGGTTGGCGCTAAAGTCCGAAAGTTTTGGCTATGCCCCCGCTCCCTCACCCTTAGATCCACTCTGTGCACGGGATACATTACATAAGAAACATTTCTAAATTTTGATCGCAATGAACACACAAGGTATAGGAACGGAAGAATAATAGGCCTAAATTACTTCTTTTCATTAAAAAAAAAATATGCATGTTTAAGTTGATGAACACATTTTGAACATGGCTGAAATTTGTTATCCAAAAATAACTGAATTAATAAACACCATGTCATACCCATTAATTGTTTTAATGCCTTGCAGAAGATTCAACCTAGACCTCGAATCAATTGAAACTCCAACACTCGGGTTAAAATAAAAGAATAGTTTCGATTCAAGACGTGTTCTTCGGTAATTTTATTAGGCCTACCACAATCGATAATTGAATCAAATTCGAATTCTTTGGGTGTGACAAATTTAGAGACTGACTGACCTAGAGGTTGGTTACAATATTTTGCATTTTTGCCGTCTTTCTTTCTCGATATCGGCAAGACATTTCCGGAAAACGAGAAATTGACGGGATCCACCTGCTAATGGTGGGTGTCCTCCCGTTTTGTCCCATGGCGTAGGGATCGATAGTACAACCCCAACATCCGGTAGGAAAAATGCTTTCCTTGGCCCCAATGACTGCTTCACATGATACCAGGCTCTTGTTCTTTTA